ATTTCACCCACCTCAGAAGAATGGAAGGCTGAGTCAACCTTGAGCCGGTGAGACCTGAACTACCAAACTGCTGGCAGCCAGTGATCAGCAGAAGTACCCTGCAGTACTGTATTCTAACCACTGCGCCACCTCTGGTAAATCCTTGCATTTCCAGCATTTTGATGATAAATTTCTAAACATTTTGGCCAGCCTTGCTGGTGGAAGATGCCACCTGTAGAACATTTTGTATAAATTTGCCTTGTATTATGTGGTCACTGTTAATTTCCTATTCTTTTCCCAAAGATTCTGCCATCTAGCCAATTCAATGTTGTATCCGAAATTTTTAGCCTATGCCACCTTGTCTCTTTAACCTGTTTTTCCTCATATTTATAGTCAAATAAGTATCTATATAGCACCTTAATCAGTTTATCCTCAATCCATATTAACAGTTTGTCTAATGTTGTTAATTCTCTATTAATGCCCCATGTTTTCACATCCTGTGTGTATCTCAACTGTATTTGTAGATATGACCACCACTCCAGTTCTACCCCTTGTGCTATTAATTCTGGTTTTCAATTCTCCTTTCTCATTTAATATGTCCTTATATACAACAATTTTCCCCATATTTATCAAATTTGGGTGTATTAGCGCTTCTAATGTAGAGGGCCAGATTGGAGTTTCCATAGAATTTTGATGTTTAATTTTGTTCCACACTGTCAAGAGTGCCTGTCTTATATGATGTCTCTGAAAGTGTTTGTGTTCTGTGCCTTTTCCATACCAAAGAAAAGTGTGCCATCCTGCTTGGATATCATGGCCTTCCAGCGTTAATAGCCTCTTATTCCTTAATGTAATCCATTCTTTTATCCAAGTGAATGCTGCAGCTTGATAATATAACTCCCAGTCAGGCAGGCCGAATCCTCCTTTCTCTTTGGCATCTTTCATTAACTTTCAGTGTGAATCTTGAATTTTGACATTGTTTATCTCTAATTTTATAGGGAAATTTTGGAATAAAAAAGTATCTTTGGTAAAATATTGATTTTAATTATGGCTATTCTACCTTTTAGGGAGATTTGCAGGTTCTTCCATCTCTCTAGATCCGTCTTTATTTAATTTGTTAATTTGGTATAGTTATCTTCTTTAAGCATTATGCACCTTGCCATTAGGTATATTCCTAGATACTTCACTTTTTTCACTATCTGAACATTCATTCCTTTTGTCAATTCCTTCTCTTTATTTGTAATGTTCTTAACTATCATTTTAGTTTTCTCCTTATTTAATTTTAGTCCTGCTACTTCTCTGTATTCTACCAGTTCTTCCATGGAAGCCAGACTGTAGGAGCTCCTCTAGGATAAAGACTAGGTCGTCCACAAAAGCTTGTAATTTGTACTGTTCTCTTCTTATTTCCAATCCTTTAATTTGTTCATATTTTCGAATGTTTCTCGTCAATACTTCCAACATTAAAATAAACAGCAGCGGGGATAGTGGGCAATCTTGTCTTGTATCTTTCTATATTGTGAAACCTCTTGTTGCCTCACCATTCATTATTACTTTGGCCTCTTGTTTTGAATATATTGCCCTGAACATATTTAGGAATTTGTCACCAAAATCGATGTGCCTCAGTTGTTGTAACATAAATTTCCAATTTACATTATCAAATGCCTTTTGGGCATCTAGGAAGAGCAATGCCACTTGTTTTTTCCTATGTGTTTCGTAATATTCTAATACGTCTAGCACTGTTTTCATATTGTTCTTTATCTGCCTTTTAGGTAGGAAGCCATTTTGGTCAACAAGTATAAACGTATTGAGGAATCTTTTCAAACTTTTGGCTATTATATATACAAATATTTTGTAGTCTGTATTCAATAGTAAAATTGGCCTATAGTTTTGAATTAGCGTTAAGTCTGCATCCTCTTTCGGAATCAACACTATGTTGGCCTCCACCCATGATGGTGGTACCTTTGTTTCTGTAAGGACAGCATTATAAACCTCTAGTAGCATTGGGCCCAGGCCAGTGATGTTGACCCTTTTTGTTGTGGTGTGCTGAAAACGCATGCATGATAACGTGCACGCACAGGCACCCACAATGCAATGTGCCCCGCCCCTCCTGCACATGCACACACAATCCCCCCTTACCAGCACTGCACATGCACGTGCCTCCCAGCTGATTTTCGGCCTGTTTGAGGCCGTTTTCACCCTCCCGGAGGCTCGAAGGAAGCTTCTGCAGCCTTGGGAGGCCAAAAAACAGACCTTTCGGAAATACCGGAAGCACCTGTTTTCAGCCTCTGGAGCCCAGGGGAGGCCATTTTCGCTCTCGGGCTTGAGGGAAGTCTCTGCAGCCTTGGGAGTCCGAAAAACTGGCCCGTTTCGGCACTTCCGGTAGTGCAGGTAAATTTGGTTGGGGCTCGTGTGCCCGCACAAATGGCTGTGGCACACGTGCCATAGGTTCACCATCACGGGCCTAGGCTATCCTGAAGTTCTTCATATATTTCTCATGGCAGTCCATCAGGGCCCGGCACTTTGTTATTCTTTTATTTTTTGATAGCCTCAATTCTGGCATTCTTGTTTCTTCATTGAGCATATCTTTGTTTCTTCTGGTACCTTTGGCAATTCAGCCTTTTCTAGATACTGTCGATACTGTTGAGTTTTTTCCTATGTATAACCTTCATTTTCTTTGTATAGTTTCTCATAGAAGACCTGAATTATATTCATTTTGTCTTCATTTTGGTAACAAATATTTCCATCTTCATCTTGCAATTTATTAATCCATTTCTTTTTTTTCTATTTCTTCAATGTATATGCTAGCCACATCATTTGTTAGCATTCTCAAAAAAAAATTGATTTGCTTTCTTTATATACTGTGCCAATTCTTCTTTTTCGAGGATGGCCAACTTATGTTTAGTTAGGTCCATTTGCTCTTTTAGACTTCTTTTTTTGTGGCCTCTTTTGTAACTCTGCCTCTAAAATCCTATATTCTTTTTCCAGGTCTTTTAGTTTTTGCTTCTTAATTTTGTTCTTCTTAGCCATGAATGATATAGCGACACCCTTCGTGAAAGCTTTCATTGTATCCCATAAATTTTGTATGGATATGTCTCCAGTCTTGTTTTCTTTAAAGAAGAATCCCAATTATTTGTTGATCCTCTGAATAAAATCTTCATCTTTTAAAATTGCTCAGTTAAGTGTCCATCTTGAGCTTTTCCTTTGACTTTTCCAAGTGATTCTCATGGGGTTATGGTCTGCCCAGAGGTTTGTGCCTATTTCTACTTCCTTTATTTCCGAGATTAGCTCCATATCGATTCTGGACCAGGATTCATGTCTGTTTAAGTAACATGTATATTGTTTCTTCTCCTGTTTTCTCTCTCTCCGTAAGTCTTGAATGTTTAGCTCTTCTGCCATTTGAAAAAACGTTCTGGGTTTTGATTCCTTTTCTTCTTTTTTGTCACTTTTGTAGTCTAGTTTCTTGTCTGTTGCGGCATTGAAGTTTCCCAGAATGCATACGTTGTTGTTCTCTGTCTCTTGAATGATACTGTGCAACTTTTTATAGAATTTTTCCTGTCCCCCATTTGGCGCATAAATTTCAACTAATAATATCTGTTTTTGATTTAATATTATTTCTACAACCAGTATCCTTCCCTCCTCATCCTAATAGATTTGCTTAGTCTAGATTGTTTCTTTGACATATAGCACCATCCCTCTCTTCTTCTGTTGTGCTAGTGCCACAAATAGTTTCCCCAGTCTGGGGTATTCCAAATCCTGTTTTTGTTAGTTTTTGATGTGGACTTCTTGTAGCGCTATCATGTCTCAGTTGCTGTAATTTAGTAAGGGTTTTCTTCCTTTTCTGGGGTAGTTCAAGCCATTAATGTTCAATTATAAGATCTTTAATCTTCTTGCATGTCTCTACCTATATCTGGGTCAAGAAAACTTCGAGCATTTTGACAATTCCAAAGGCATCCTGGATTCTGTTAATTTCTCAGAGAGGCATTTACAAGAGGAGATATGTTTTGTTATGTATTTCTTTTATGAGATATTATTTTTAAAAACTTTTTTCTTTCTCAAACTGCCTTTGCGTGATAACAGGTATGGGATGGATAATCCGGAATAATCATTTATTAAGATCCTTTTTTACCTTTTTGTTAAAGATTAAACTACCTTTGAATCCCTACTCTTAAATGCCCACAGAATGATATGTATTTTATTTATATTACATTAATTAAAGCAGTATAGTGTACTTTTTAAACAATTAACAAGTACACCATAGTGTTTAACACAATAAAACAATGTTTACAATAAAAAGATGAAATGTGGAATGATATGCTTGAAACACTTTCTAAAAACAGAAACAATAAACAAGGAAAGATGATGTGTTACACAGCTTTGGAGCAGCACCGAAGCCTTTCTGCCATGCAGCCGTGTAATTTTTCAATTGGTTTTTTTTTTCTTCTAGACCTGTTAATGTCTATGCTTATTAAAAGAAGTAAAGGCAGCTCAGTCTGCCTTCCACAACCTCCTTTCATCATCTGCCTGCCCCAAGTTTTCCTGCAGTAGGAATGAGTGCATCAGATTATAGCAATTTAATGAGTCTTTGATTACAGTTTTTCTTTTTATCTTGGGCAAATTTACTGTAGCATCTTGGGATGGGGGTGGGGCAGGATGAGCCCCTTATCCTCACTCAGTTACATGAGGCTGGCAAAAATGAGATAGGTGTTTTTATCTGTGCTAACTATTTTGCTTTTTCTTAAAAGAGTGGAAGTGTACATGTATGTATAGAATGCCCATTTCTGTGTTTTCTTTTCTGTGTAGTATTTGTAAGTCTAATGCTTCCTTTGTATCTGAATATGCTTAACATGACCCTTTCTCTTCCTTTCTCTTCTTTCTCTGCTTCTTTGGCTGGCAGGCAATTATTCACAGTGTTTCCTGATTCTTCCCTATAGGAACTTCCATGCTTCTACTATATCAGCTCAGCACCTCCTGCCTTTCTGGCCTCTCCTTCACCCTGGTGAATACCCTCTTCTTTTCTCCTTTAGAACTTTCACCTCATTGATTATCACCTGGCTGCATTCATCACAGTGATGTTGGCACGGAGGCTTGTATGGGCCCTCATCTCTGAGGTAATGATGATGAACTTTTCCAGTTTCAAGATACTCTAAATGAGCTAGTATGTCCCGTCTTTTTTCTTTTTCTTTTGTAGTTCTTTTTTCACCTATCCATCTTCAATAAAACATCTCTCAGTGTTAATGTTACAGGTCGTCCTCGGGTTACGACAGCAATTGGGACTAGGATTGCCATCGCTGAGCAGTTCAGTCGCAAAGCATAACATCATGTGACCTCATCACTTAGTGACAGCAATTCTAGACATTCACGATTGCTGTCATAACCCCAAGACACATGAGTTGTTAAAGAGGGAAGAGGCAGGAATCTCAGGTAAGTTTGCATGCAATGGGTATGGGAAGTCCTGGAAGAGCGGGTGCAGGACATCCACGACTCATGGGAGAGCCAGCAGGGACTGCACAGCGGGAGGGGGTTGCTCTGGGCAAAAGAAAATTGATTTCCTGGTGGGAAACCAGCAGGGATGGTCACAAATGGCAGTCATGACTGCGGCTCCCTGTAATGTAGTAATTGTGGTCTGGCACTTGGATTGTGAGTGTATTTTTTGCAAGGATGGTATGATAGCCAGAACCTCAAGGACTGGCCTATGTCCATTTTTTTCAGCACCACTGTAACTCTGAACTGTAAGTGAACAAATGGTCATAAGCCAAAGACTATCTGTATTAAAATTAAAGTTAGCAGATTACTTATGACGCTGCTTTGCTTGGGATAAATGTTTGTAAAATATCCCAAAGTTATAGCTGATTGTAACTTATACAGTAGACAATGCCCTCAGGTTCCATGTTATTACAGCAGCATATTGAGCAAAGTTAACGTTATTTCAAGCAAGATTAATCACAGGGGGCTTTGGTGCTCTCTGAGCTTGGTTCTTTTCTTAAAGATGTTTTATTACCCAAATTAGGTAACATCATCAGTACTAGTAAAGAGTGGGGTTTGTTCTGAGTTTATATTGATTGTGCACAATATTAAATTGATCTTAGGAGTAAATGTTTAAGTCTCATCATGTTTACAGAAAGATATTTTTTAGACTAGAAATAAGGATGAAAATGTCTCTTAGAGGTCTGTATGAAAAGTTATTTGTATGTGCAAGCATTTTGAGATGGGCTTCATACCCACAAATCCAAGCCACTTAGTAATGTAGATGGGATTGAATACATTACATTGTCTATCACAATTGCAGTACTTGAATCTCATTTCATTTTATGGCGGAAGTAGGCAGACTTTGCTTGAAGATGATACTTATGGGATAAGGTGGGATACATTGTCCTGCTTTGAATTTGCAGGGCATTTCACTCTCAAGTGTTGACTTCACCAGAACTGAAATATTTGGAACTCTTTGGGGGTTTTCTGCTTTCCAATAGAAGAAATTGCCCTGTGTTCTTTTTAAGGGGTTCTTATGGTATTTATTCTATTACTTAAATTCCCCTATCCTCCCCAGCTTTAAAACATGAAATTGTTCCATGATTTCAGGTAGTCCATACCCAAACTCAAAACATGTGTGTTTTGAACATTCTGTTCTTTAGATAGAATGAAGCAGGATTGTTCTGCTTTGGTACAGTAGAGGCAAACCTGATTCAGATTTAGTAGTAAGACAAGGGCAAAGCAAGGAAAATGTTGCTGGCAGCTGAAGGAATACATTCCCATGTCCAGCTTTTTTTTTTTCTGCTCTGAACTAGAACATCTTTGAAACATTTGTGGGATATGTGAGGGAAGACTGTGGAGCTGATGGAATTCTGGGTTTAACTCTGCAGGCCTCGCAGGTGGGTACTTCATCAATGATTCACGATATGGCATTGATTCTGGCACGTCTAGTTCTACTCACCCTTTGTGTATGGGTGCTCTGTTGGACTCTGGTCAACCTTTTCCGCAGCCATTCTGTCCTCAATCTCCTCTTTCTTGGCTACCCGTAAGTATCTTTACCTTTTGTCCTGAATGAACAATTCCAATTGTATTGGAGAGGGTAACAAGAAACTCTTTTGAGCAATGAAGTCTGGGTATAGAGCAGTAGCTTCAAAGCTACTTTTTGAATTTTTGAGGAAAAATCATAAGGGAAGATTTGCCTCTTTCAGAACAATTTTTCCTGTTAATGTCTATTATACATCAAGCTTTAATTAATCAGGAGACACTCAGTCCATCAATTTCATAGAAGATCTGGATGAACAGGAGGAAGAATACATATCAAATTGAATAGGAAAATGAGATAAACAATTATTTGGGAAACTAGTCTCCTTGATAGAAAATTCTGTCTGATATTCATAGATAGGATGTATCACAGGTTATAATCTCATCCTGTCATTTTTCCTTTTTCAGGTTTGGTGTCTATGTTCCATTGTGCTGCTTCCACCAAGATAGTAGAAACCAGCCTCTTTCAACAGACTGCAGCTATTTAGTACAGGATCAACTAGTGGATGATAGTGCCTCAGGGGTTGGCAGTCTTGTGAAGCCCAAAGATTTATTTTCTCTCCTGAGAGAATCTGTCAAAGAACAGTTCAACCCCTCTGTGACCACACCGACGCACAGCTGTCCCTTGTCCCCAGATCTCATTCGCAATGAAGTGGAGGGCCTCAAAGCAGATTTTAACCGCCGAATCAAGGAAGTTCTCTTCAATTCCCTCTTCAGTGCCTACTATGTGGCATTTCTGCCACTGTGCTTTGTGAAGGTAGCTGTTCTTGGAATACTTTACTATTATTATTAGTGCCACTCCACCTCCTAAATCTTGCCTATGGATTGTTGGGGCAATGGACTTCTGGTTAATTCCCCTTTTCTCTGTCTCCCCTTTGGCAGCCTGGATGGCGGAGTGTAGCTGCATCTGGAGTGCCCTAGTATTGCTCCCCGTTGGAGGATAGGTATTGCCATACATGTAGTGCCCCTGTGCTTTTCCCAGTCCTTTTTCCATCCCATTTACTAACCCCGTCCTCTTTTTCAAGACAATTATAACATGATTCTATTTTGTGCCATAATATACACTTGGTGCCAAATTCCGATCCTAATTTGACAATATCCAGATTATCAGCACTAAGACAATCCAAATAGAATTGGGTAAACCAATGAGATCAAATCATATATTTCAGAAACTATTCAGAATAATATAATTCTGAAGGCAGAAGTACAGGATATACAGTTAACTTAGTTCTGTTTTTGAATAACAAAGCATATTGAATTTATCAGTTTACTATGGAATCCATAAGCATACATTTGTGTGAGTACTTTTTAGAAAGCTCAGGGAATTACATCGGAGTTGTAACACAAGAGTGTGTGCAGCCAATGTATATAATGCATTAAATATGTCAGAAAGAAATGCCTGAGTTCCCCTAGCTTACTAGCCTTGCAGTTAATAAGGAATTATGGAAATACCAGGGCCCGAAAAAGGAACTGAAGAGTATGGAAAGGAAAGGCCAAATTGGTCCCAGTGGTGGTAGGAGGGAACACTTGGATCTGTGACTCCTAAGTTGGGAGAATGGTTCTGACCAAGGAACAACATCGGTGCTTTCCCCCAGAGTAGTGCTAGGAAGGCTTAAGATATTGTGAAGAACCTTTACATTCCAAAATCTCTGGCAGAGGACCCGAGATTGAGGAAGATAAATACTGCCCCCATGAGTGAGATGGGAATTTTTATATGTATGTTTATTATTGCAGAATCCAATTGCTTTCGAGGTAGTTGGGATGCTCTCATTAATTTATTCTCTGGTTTCTTGCAGAGCACTCAGTATTACGATATGCGTTGGTCATGTGAGCACCTCATCATGGTTTGGATCAATGCTTTTGTCATGCTCACCACACAACTGCTTCCTCCCAAGTATTGTGACTTGCTACACAGATCAGCTGCTCACTTGGGCAAGTGGCAGAAGCTGGAACATGGGTCATATAGTAATACTCCTCAACACATGTGAGTTTGTGGTCGGAACACTTTTTTCTAGGGCTGTAGGAATTTCAGAAAGACTTATCTTTGTAAATTGCATTTATTGAAATTCCCAAGGCTTATGTTTTCTTATTATGTGTTGTATTTTCATATATAAGATTCAGTGTTAGCAGAATATGGTTTTGATAGGTTTTTGTGTCATAGTCTTCACGAAGTTAGTTAGCTTACTAAAGTTCAAATGCAGAAATAGTGTTGGTGTAATTTCTAGGCCTACATGCCAAACAAAAACTGCTAAAGACACTCTTCCCAACAAAGCAGTGGTGGTATTCAGCTGGCTCTCACTGGTTCGTGCAAACTGGTAGTGACGATTTGGTGTAGGTCGCCGAACCAGTAGTGACTTATGGGTGGCCACACTCCCAGCCCCTGACCCAGTCTCCACTTGTTTGCTTGCCCCACCCGCTCGATGCTCACTCACCCCGGCCGATGATCACCCCACCCAGTCGCTCCTCACCTATGCGGCACACTAGGTCCTCGTGGCTTGCCTTTAACCTGCTTTCCCACGTGGTGCCTGCGCCCAAACTGAGCAGCCCTGATCTGCCTGCTCACAGGTAAGAGCAGTTGTGCTAGCGCACCCCCCCCCCAATTCCCAGATCTTCCTGCCCACCCCCCACCCCTGGGCTCGGATGGCTAGCTTCCCCACCGGCGCAGCCCCATCCCAGGCGGCGGTGCTGGCTGGGGCCTAGCTAGCTGCACACACGCACACACACACACACATCACCATCCCTGGGCTCGGCTGGCTGGCTAAGCTGCCACGCAGCGCTCTCCCAGCTCTTCCTACCACGTGACGGCTGCAGCACAGCGAGCAGTGGTGGAGGTGCTCCAACTGGGACTCCTGGGGCTGCCTCCCATAACAGCACCACCACCACCCACTTCCTTTTGGCACCCGGGAGAAGCGAGCAGCGGCAGAGGTGCTCCAAAAGGGAGGACAGGTGGATGTCTTGGGGCTGCTTGCTTTCTTTGTTCCCCCGCCGCCCGCTGCTCTGGAGCTCGTCAGATCAGTTCGTCCCAGACCAGGGGTGTGTGAGAGAGAGAGGGAGGGAGGGAGAGAAAGAAAAAAAGAAAGAGGAAGAAAAAAAGGGAGAAAAAGAAAGAAAAAGAAATAGGAAGAAAGGAAGAAAGAAAAAGAAATAGGAAGGGAGAGAGATAAAAAAAACCTCTGTGCTATTATTTTTAATTGTTCCATTATTTATCATGTGTTAATATTTTACACTGTCCCTACACGTAGAGTGATTTTACTGCCTTGCTTTTGCCCAGGGCTACCACATATTTTTCAGGATTTACATGCATTCAATTTCTATAGTCCATAGCATAAATACATGTGTGTTTAACAGAGTTGAAAGGGACTTTGGAGGTCTTCTAGTCCAAGCCCCTGCTCAGGCAGGAAAACTGAGGATGCCAAACTCTGAGTAGAGGTCCTGGGAAAGGTGTCAGAATATCAGAATAACACTTAGAAAGGACCTTGGGGGGAACCCTATATACCATTTCAGAGAAATGTCTGTCCAGTCTTTTCTTAAAAACCTCCTGTGTCGGAGCACCCAGAACTTCTGGTGGCAAGCAGTTCCACTGATTAATTGTTCTCACTGTCAGGAAGTTTCTCTTAGTTTTAGGTTGCTTCTCTCTCTGTTCCGTTTCCATCCATTACTTCTTGTTTGCCTTCTGGTGCTTTGGAAAATACACTGCCCCCCCCCCCTTTCTGGCAGCTCCTTAAAAGCCTGTTACCTATCACTCTCTTGGGCAAAGCATGTGAGCCATTTCCTCCTTTCAGTTGTCCATGAAAGTAAGTACATCTATAGTAGGTAAATAATAAAGTCAAAAAAAGGTGAACAACATTTTTACAGAACTATAGACATGTTGAGGCTGGGTGTGACAAGGAATGGCTGGGAGGGGAGGAGCCAGGCAAGACACCCCTTGACGTGAGTGACATTGAGTTGGCTACGCCCACCCAGTTACATGACCACCAAGCCACGCCCACCCAGCAAGCCACGCCCACTGAACCAATAGTAAAAAAAAAAAATTGGATCCCACCACTGCAACGAAGACTTTAGAAGCCCAGTGCCAACTCCAAGAATACTCCATGGCTCTTGCATTTTGATGATTCAGATCCAATTTCGACTTTACCTACCTTCAAACTTGAAATGATCAGCAATTTTATCCTTGCAATAGCCATAAAAGCCCTCCAACATTCCATGCAACTGAATGGAATGGCTCAGTCATCTTCCTGACTGCTGACTGAAGACAAGCAGGATGTTTGCTCATGAAAGGACAGTGTCTTATAAATATTTAATGATTGTTGAAAACTGAAGAAAAATATTGTAAATTAAAAGAAAAACTGGGCAGAGGTACATATTACACGTACAAATTCTATGCGTCCCTAAATGAAACTCCTAAGGTTGAATAGATTCCTGGGATGGAAACGTAATTTGAGCATATAGGAGAAGCTTTTAACAGAAATCAGTTGGATTTGCTGGTTGTCCGTTGTAGAATTTTTATATAGTGTAACTGGTAGTAGAGAATTTTTATCAAATTTGAATGAGAAAAATAAATTTGAACACTCAAACATTTCAGTGATTTCTTAACAGTGAAAAGGCAGGAGTGTTTACTTTTGTTTAATTTGAGTTAGAATGCTAGATGTCATTTGTCTACTACCTCACTTGGGATTTCCATTACTACTGAAATCTCTGTTATGCTTCTTGAACAAAGATAAAAGTTCTAAAACTAAAAAAACTTAAATATAAAGCATATTACAAAGGCATCCACATTCATTTATTGAAATTATTCATCTGGTTTTACGTTCTCATAATAATGAAATATTTTTCTTTGTCCATAGCTGGTCTGAGAGCACAATCTGGCCACAAGGAGTGCTGGTACGGCATAGTCGATGCTTATATAAAGCAGTGGGACCTTATAATGTAGCTGTGCCTTCAGATGTCTCTCATGCTCGCTTTTATGTAAGTATTATAGTGGATTATTGAGGGTCTGGGAATAAAATACTGCTTGCCATGAGATACAGATTTCTGTTCTTTTACAACAACAAATCATTAATAACTAGCAAAGATTGGAGGAACTTAATGTCTTGTAATTAAAATGTGGTTCTTCCTTGCTATTCAGAGATAATGCTGCTAATAAATTCTATAAACACACATACTTTGTTTCCTTCTAGTTCCTCTTCCACCATCCCTTACGGCTTCTCAATCTGCTGATTCTCATAGAAGGCAGTGTGGTCTGTTATCAACTCTACTCCCTGCTGCGCTCAGAGAAGTGGAACCATACGCTCTCCATGGCCCTGATACTCTTCTGCAACTACTATGTCTTATTTAAACTCCTGAGGGACCGAATAGTATTGGGCAAGGCCTATTCTTATCCACTCAACAGCTATGGGTTAAAAGCCCATTAGCTATCTGTGGAAGGGAAGGATATTTTCATACAGTTATATTTTTTTTCCTTGCAACCGTTTATAAATATTTAAAAAAAATATTTTATATTTTGTATACTACTGTTTTTTGTGGGGTAGGGAAGGGCCAAGTGGCAGTTAAATGTCACTTTATAAACAAAAGTTATTTTATATAAAGACATCATTGTGTATATACTGTATATCAACATATATCTATGTGAAGCAAAAGCATTTGTATGTGTGGTCCCTTTATCTATTGTGCATGCAGGTTAGCCACCATAAAACTGTTGGTTTTATGTATAGGACTTGCCTATTTGCTATACATCTAGCCAAAGGTGGCTATTGCTTACAGTTGTGGACAAGACATGGGCAACTTCCTGGATCCCTTTTTATGGTCACTCACTTTTTTAAAAGATCATGCTATAAAAAAAAAACCTTGCCAATTTTTTTACCTTTAAAGCACTGAAATGGTTAATGGTGCCCTTCAGTTTGTTTTAAACTTCTTTACTTGACAGAAAACTCCAGCCCGCTCACACTTAAAGAATAATTTTAATAACACCTTCAAGCACATAGAGCAATAAAATAAAATATTATTCAACATCACCTGGTGCAGTAGCCAAAATCATGTTTTGCACATTTGAGTTATACAGGTAAAGCCTGAGTTACGTAATGGAGCCTGTCAATTACATTTGTAATTCAACAAGTGAATCACATAACTTGAATGTGATCGTTCTCTGCTTTTACCCACACATTCACTAATCAAATGTGTGGGTCGCTGAGTGCACGAGGTATCTCAAGGAAAGCTGTGGGGGAGGTTCCCCTGTCCCATCTTGCCATGCCGGACTTGCAGACCTTGCAAAGATCTGTCTCCTCTCTGCTGCAGTTTCTTTGCTGTTGAGGGAGAGAGGAGGGCAGGATGATTTCTATCCCAGCGTCCAGTTGGCTTGCAAATGCTTTTTGTGCCAAGAGTGAAATGTTCTTGGAGGAGGGGGTGATCACATGCAACTTCAGGCACCCATTCTCTGCAAAAGTGGGTGGGTGTCTGAAATTGCACAAGATCATGGACCCCAGAACATTCCACTCAGCACAAAAAGCATTTGCAAAGTAATCGGACACTGGGAACAAAATCGTCCTACTCCCTCTCTCTCAAAGGCAAAGAAACCATGGCAGAAAGGAGACAGATTTTTGCAAGGTCTGAGACGGCAGGATGGGGGTGGGTGAGGTAGCAGGGGAGATAAGGTCACTGTCATAACTTGAGGATTACCTGTATTCTCAAATGGCATGTTGTCTATTTTGCATGGGATTCCTTAGTAGGCAAGCAAGGAAGATAAAATTGGAATTTTAAAACACTGACATTTTCCTTTATTTATTATAATCACAGATAAACACAAGTTTTTAATACTTTGTTCTGTAACAGAGTAATCCAAGTGGGGCCCGTGGTCATCTTCTTTGGCAGTATTTTTAATTAAAAAGAATTACCAGTAAATGAGACTAGCCTCTGCAAACTGCTAGCCTTGAGTAACTTATAAGAATGTTCAGTGCTCTTAAGGCATCTTGGAAAGAAAGCTTAGTCCCTCTTTTTGAAGGTATATCCATAGGCCCAGAAATAGGGATAAAAGCAAGTACTCATTCTGTGATCTGAACGTTTTGTCACTGACCATAACAGCTATTTTGTGAAAACAGTCAGTTCTGTGAATTAAGAGTTACCAAATGTGAACAGCAAACATGTAGATGGCTACTAGATGGCAATACATTAGATAGCACTCTTACCTCGGCCTCTCAGATTTTACAGCCTGGATCAGATAACTTGTCTTGGAATGCCAGCTAAACCTTCTGCCACGTAATAGCTGCCTCTCCCTTGCTTTAATTAATTTTTTTATATGTCTTTGGTCAAGATGCTACACAAAGTGATTAAACTTTGGGTAGATGACAGGGTGCACAACAGCACACATGAGCCCTATAGAATTGCAGAGCAACATGAGAACTAGTGTTTTCTAACAGAAGTATGTTCAGCACCTTATCATTTTTTTCCAAAATAAGAATATAGACAAATTAGGAATGAGGATTAAGTCCTCTGTAGTAGTTTATGTATGCAAAATCTTAATGTTATTTTCTTTAAAGGAATGACGAGTGTGACAATAATCACAAGCATGATTGCCTTTACTTCCTATTTATAGATGCTCTGTTGCTTGTTTTTCTTGGTCATACTACATTGTGGCAAAATGTTTAACACACAATAGGTATATGCAGAAGCAAAAAACCTACAGAAATGCCACTTGAAATACATAAAAGAGCAGGAAAAACAATGTTGTAAGAGATTGAGAATCCTTTTTGGATGCCCTTGTCCCAGTACTTTTACAAAATTTGGCAATAATAAAAAAAGTTTTCTAATACAGGTAGTGCTTGACTTATAACCACATCTGAGCCCAAAATTTTTGTTGCTAAGTGAAACATTTGTTAAGTGAATGTTGCCTCATTTTATTACTTTCCTTGCCACAGTTGTTAAGTGAATCTGGAGTTAAGTTAGTGACATAGTTATTAAGTGAATCTGACTTCCCCATTGGCTTTGCTTGTAAGATCACAAAAGGGTGATCACATGATTCCGAGACACTGCAACCGTAACAAATATGAATCAGTTACCAAGCTTCTGAATATTGATCATGTGATTATGGGGATACTTCAATGGTCATAAGTGTGAAAAATGGTCATAAGTCACTTTTCTCAGTGCCATTGTAACTTTGAACAGTTAGTAAATGAACTGTTGTGAGTCAAGGACTACCTAGTATACTACCTGTATACTAAAGGTTTTATATTTACCTTATACCAGAATAGTTTAGTTAGGTTGAAGAACGGAAAGGCTTTTCTAAGAAACCAGTCTTACTCTTATCATTTTAACAATATACCATTATCAAGGAGGACAGAATTGTAACTTTCAATCTCATAGTCACAAATTTTGTAAATATTTACAAAGGTATGGATAAAGAATAATTACTTGCTTACAGACGCTTATTCCCTCATATTGTTCAATTTAACATTAACTAGAGACCACCACTCCTAAACTTAAGAAAACCTGCACAATTTGTGTACTCTCCTCCCATTCATTGAATACAGCCTGTTGTGAAAGGTAAGGCTGAAAAAAAACACTACTTTCTATTATTCAGTGAAATATCTACTGAGAATGTGGTTCCAGATCCAAATCCAGGGTTTTATCCACCGATAACTTCAAGTCAGTCTAATCTGGTGATTATTAGGACAGTGCTTGCAACCATCCTAAGATTATTTCTGGAAAATTTCTCATGTCTTCAGTATTGTTTGTCCTAAGGATAGCTTGGTTCGGAATGACAATGTGTATGTTATTTCCAGTAGTGGGATTCAAAAAAATTTACTACCGGTTCTGTGGGTGTGGCTTGGTGGGCGTGGCAGGAGAAGGATATTGTAAAATCCCCATTCCCTCCCCACTCCTGGGGAAAGGTTACTGCAAAATCCCCATTGCCTCCCCACCCCACTAACCTGCTTTCCAGCTCCGTTCTCCTGTGCAGGGCAACAAAAGAAGACCCAACCGATCAGTTGGGACTCGGGAAGCAGAGAATAGATGGGGGCGGGGCCAGTCAGGTGGTATTTGCCAGTTCTCTGAACTACTCAAAATTTCTGCTACCAGTTCTCCAGAACTGGTCAGAACCTGCTGAATACCATATCTGATTATTTCTATGGCTTCTTAAATACTATTTTGAGACATGCCCAAACTTCAAGTTTCGAATATTAATCTTTGGAAAACTACCACACCAATCAACATTTCAGAGTTTTCTGAATATTGTATTTATTTTATCACAAACTCGGATGAGTGAACAAATCCATTGCATGAAATATTGTATTAATGATGCTGATGCCAATCCCATCATATTTTCTGAATCAATTACTTTCTTTCACTTTGAAAAGGAACATGGATGCTCAAGCCTATAGGAACTGGTAAAATGATTTGCTTTCATTTTGACACAAGAAATTAACATTCTGCTGAACTATAAAGAAATACAATTGTGCAATATCACTAGAGGGTATATATTGTTAGAGTTTTGTCAGAGTTGGGTTTAAAAAAAAAATCTGTAAATGCCCATCACCCTTTCTAAGAAATTTTCCATGCAAGAAACATCAAGAATACTCTGCTATATATACAGGTGAAACTCAAAAAATTATAATATCGTACAAAAGTTTATTTATTTCAGTAATGCAACTTAAAAGGTGAAACTAATATATGAGATAGACTCATTACATGCAAAGCAAGATAGTTCAAGCCGTGATTTGTCATAATTGAGATTATGGCTTACAACTCATGAAAACCTCCAATCCACAATCTCAGAAAATTAGAATATTGTGAAAAGGTTCAATATTCTAGGCTCAAAGTGTCCCACTGTAATCAGCCAATTAAGCCATAACACCTGCAAAGGGTTCCTGAGCCTTTAAATGGTCTCTCAGTCTGGTTCAGTAGGAATCACAATCATGGGAAAGACTGCTGACCTGACAGTTATGTAGAAAACCATCATTGACACCCTCCATAAGGAGGGAAAGCCTCAAAAGGTAATTGCAAAAGAAGTTGGATGTTCCCAAAGTGCTGTATCAAAGCACATTAATAGAAAGTTATGTGGAAGGGAAAAGTGTGGAAGAAAAAGGTGCACAAGCAACAGGGATGACCGCAGCCTGGAGAGGATTGTCAGGAAAAGGCCATTCAAAAGTGTTGGGGACTTTCACGAGGAGTGGACTGAGGCTGGAGTCAGTGCATCAAGAGCCACCACACACAGACGGATCCTGGACATGGGCTTCAAATGTCGTATTCCTCTTGTCAAGCCACTCCTGAACAAAAAACGTCAGAAGTGTCTTACTTGGGCTAAAGAAAAACAGAACTGGTCTGTTGCTCAGTGGTCCAAAGTCCTCTTTTCTGATGAGAGCAACTTTTGCATCTCATTTGGAAACCAAGGACCCAGAGTCTGGAGGAAGAAAGGAGAGGCACACACTGCAAGATGCTTGAAGTCCAGTGTGAAAGTTTCCAGAGTCTGTGTTGATTTGGGGAGCCATGTCATCTGCTGGTGTTGGTCCACTGTGCTTCATTAGGTCCAGCGTCAACGCAGCCATCTACCAGGAGATTTTGGAGCACTTCATGCTTCCTTCTGCAGATGAGTTTTATGGATGCTGACTTCATTTTCCAGCAGGACTTGGCACCTGCCCACACTGCCAAAAGCACCAAAACCTGGTTCAATGACCGTGGGATTACTGTGCTTGATTGGCCAGCAAACTCGCCTGACCTGAACCTATGGGGCATTGCCAAGAGAAAGATGGGAGACATGAGACTGAACAATGCAGAAGAGCTGAAGCATCCTGGTCTTCCATCACACCTCAGCAGTGCCACAGGCTGATAGCTTCCATGCCATGCCGCATTGAGGCAGTAATTGCTGCAAAAGGGGCCCAAACCAAGTACTGAGTACATATGCATGCTTATACTTTTCAGAGGTCCAATATTGTACAATCCTTGTTTTATTGATTGCATGTAATATTCTAATTTTCTGAGATTGTGGATTTGGGGTTTTCAGGAGCTGTAAGCCATCTCAATTATGACAAATCATGGCTTGAACTATCTTGCTTTGCATGTAATGAGTCTATCTCATATATTAGTTTCACCTTTTAAGTTGAATTACTGAAATAAATGAACTTTTGCACCATATTCTAATTTTTTGAGTTTCACCTGTACATACTGAATGCAAATGTCACATACAGTATTTAAAATGCATTCAAACAAATTGTATCTGAATAGAATCTGCTCAATCGTAAAATCTTAAGCATCTGGATGTTTATTTATAAACAATTTGTATCAATATAAACTCTAAACACTGCAGACACCTACAGCACTGTATATCCTTTAGTAAGTTAACCGTTTCGTTCCAATTTAATTTTCTCTGCATTTTTTAATGGGAGCTTGTGAATCTGTCCTGAAGACCTTTCTAACTGTCATCCCTTAAGCCATTTATACTTTAAACAGACAACTGTATTGGAACTGGAAGTGTTAAGGAATTTTGAAGCTAGCCATATTATCTCAGAATATCATAGTAAATTATTGGTTTTGCCAGTGTACCATGAAATTGCTCCAGTTTCAGGCCTATTTGGAACAGCAACGCTTCATTCCACCACTTGGTCATCATCTGTGAAAGAAACAGCAAGATACCTATAAAAAACTGCTGAGATACTGTACCTTCTCAGAATATACTTTTGGGAGTTGACAGAGATAGTTGCTATAAGCTCATTTGATCTCTGGCTGTAAAGAGCTTTGAGACATAGGGTGTAAAACAAGTAGGACCAAAGGAAAACTAGACAACCTTGAAAACCATTACTACAATTATTTGTTGGAACAATTAGAAAAGTGCTTTCTCCAAGTACAGGAAATCCTCAACTACAATTCGCTTAGTGACCATTCAAAGTTACAATGGTACTGAAAAAAGTGACATGACCATTTTTCACATTTATGATCATTGCAGCATCCCCATGGTCACTTGATTTGCATTTGGATATTTGACAACTGACTCACATTATTTTGCATTACCTGGAGTCATGTGATCACCATTTGCTACCTGACAAGCAAAGTCAATGGGGAAATCAGATTCACTTAAAAACCATGTTACTAATTTAACAACTGCAGTGATTCATTTAACAAAGATGACAAAGTCATAAAATGGGGCAAAACTCACTTAACAAATTTATCAGCAACATAAATTTTGGGCTCAATTGTGATCATAAGTTGAGGACTACCCGTATTATATATTTTAACCAATAACAAAAGTACACAATTTAAAATTCACAGGACATACAGTATATTAATTACATCAGCATGTACAGGGATTAAGTTTCTCAGTGGAAACCAAAATATTTTTTCAAAATTGGAAATGCAAAAATAACTAGAAAATGGGTCTTCTATTGAAATAAATAAGAGGCTCAGGTAAGCTGTCTCATTAATAAGCAGAATTCTGGAGGTAGGCATAGGGATCCCTTTTTAAAAAAAGTCATCTTCCAGGCTTCAGAATAAGGGACATTAGAAGAAATGTTTTTTGTGGTGGTATCTTTTGTGGGTAAAGAAAAGAAAGGACGGTTTGCATTAGGAACCAATAGCCCAGGTTTTCCAAAACTAGAGATTAAAATCAACATTTTTCACTGGGCTCAAACCAAACCAGGTCACCAAAATATAATCAGAATACCTTATTTCAATTAGAATTGCCACACCTATATTTTGGAAAACTTAACTTTTGGATCTTCTTTAAAGACTTCATAATCAAGTATAGAATACCCTTTCTTACATAATAGAGGCAACATGTTATACAAAGTCAGAAGCCCATTCATTTCCATGTCAGGCTCAATCTTGTAAAAGTTCCACACTCAGGAAAGTCAATTGTATGTTAATTAGTTTAGTCCAGCTGGTATGTATCATGCACTCTGAATAGAGATTTGAGAGAAAAGCATAAAACATGCTATAAAATGGGACTCCTCTAGGTGCTCTGTCTAGCCCATTTGTTCTCTTTTTAAAAACTTCTTATTTCCCAAAGAATAACCAGAAAAGGAAAAGGATGTCTAAGTTTCCCATCCTCTTTCAGTCTAACCTGATCAATTTACACACTTAAAAAATAGAGATGACAACTAGCTACCCACTGCAAAGATGGCTGGAATGCTATCAAAGAGGGAAGCCCCGATATAATTTTCATTTATTTATAGCTCATCTTCAGTATTTTTACAAATAATTCAAGGCAGTGAACATAGCCAATACACCTTCCTCCTCCTACTTTCCCAATAAACCTATGAAGTGAGTTGATCTGAAAGAGAGTGACTGTCCCAAGATCACCCACTTAGCTTTCATGGCTAAGCTAAGACTAGAACTCTGACCTCCCACTTTTTAGCCTGATACCTTAACCACTAGACCAAGGGTGTCAAACCACTAGACCACGGGCTGGATGCATCACACACTGGCCATGCCCACCCCCATTTTAGTGAAGGGGGGGTCGTGATACATCATGTGATAACATGACAGTGAAAGTTTGACACCCCTGCACTGGACCAAACTCTCATCATCCTAGATTATCTGCTTTGGAGATTACCAATAGCTCAGGCCAAGATGGGGTTTGTTATGCATATATCTACATTAGTTGACTACAGAATTATGGCCGTAAGTCATGCTGGTAATTAAGTGGATTGCAACATGACCACAAGCAATTTTATGATGTTTTCAATGTTTTTGCTGGTAACTGGAAGTATCCGTTTCTGGCAAAAAATATAAACCACAGTCACATAATGTTGCAAATGGTTGTAAATGTGGGCCAGTTGCCGAATACCCAGAGTGCAATTACTTGACTGCAGGGAGAGCTGGGCAGCCAACTGTCAGAATTTTGAACCTAAATAGCCTTGGGGAAATCGGTTGTAACTTTGAATGAATGCTAAGTGACCGGCTATAAGGACTACCTATAAACTTTTGTTAGTATATATTTGAAACAAAACTGGTCATATTCACAAATGTTTGAGTGGGTGCTTTTGTCAACACATTAGGAATGCCAGGAATGCTATGGCATATTAACTCCCTTTCTAGGTTATGGACAACTTCCCAATTTCTCTTTTTGAAAATTCATACTGTATTAAAAAAGATTTCATATTCACAATAAGATATACTGAGAGCAATCTGCCACACAAGACACATTACACCTGAATATCATTTCTGTAAGCTATAAGCTTCTGTAATAGAAAGTAGATACCTTTCTATTTTTGAAAAGTTGTTAAGCAAACAAATAGAATAGTTGAATCTCATTCTAAAAAGGCATCGGTATTAATATTTGACTAAATAATACATTTTTATTTGCTACCCTGAGTTTGCAAGGGATGGAAAAAGATGTGCGTTTCAGTAGGATTTGGTAGAAATATAAAACATATTTCCACCATCTGTGATTATTGGCCTAGCAAGGGCTAGGAAGGAATATGGCCACATATGAGGATTCAGAAATTGAAAAAAAGAAACTGGATGAATGTAGGTGGATGAATTAATCAGAAAGATTATTCTTAATTGCGTTCACTGAGTTCACACCAAATTACGGAAGGTAATAACTTACTTGTAAACTGATGGGAAGCCCTGAAATTGTATATCCAACTGGTACCACTAGGGCTGGAATGCCTGTCAAGTTGGCCAACTGCATGTATCTGGAAAGATCAATGGAAACAATATTAATAATGCGAAAAATTCTGGAAAAGAAGTACTGAACTCTCTGCAGATTGTAAATCCAAGCCTCTTTGAACGTATTTGGCAGGGCACAAAGAATATTTTTCTTCTTATAATTCTAACTAACAGAAATGGTTTTAATAGTTGCTGTATAGCCAAGTTGTAGCAATCCAAGAGTTAAGCAGCCAACAAATACATTTAAATGGAAAGAATTTTAAAAAATAAACAGGCCAAAATTATGCCATATTTTCTACACATCAACCAGTGGAGATACCTATGGCTAGGTCGTTCTTTTTTCCTTTTCTATGAACCCATATGCATTTTAGGAGGACGTCATCCTTGGTGATCTCTTACATATAATGCAACTCCATTACATATAATGCAACTTATGTCTGTTTCTTTTGAAAATTTTATATCCTTCCATCATTATATTCCAGTCATTTCACCCAAGTTTCAGTAATGGCAACTAAATCATACCTGTTCTCACGTACTAGTACTCCACTCCTTTCCCCTTTCTTTTCTTTTTCTTTCCTTCCTTCTGTCAACTCATAAAATTTCTTCCTTTACTTTTGTTATTCTTTCTACTCTTCTTTCAGTTTTTATTGTTACAATTATAAACTAATAAAATTATTTCTTAAAAAATTGAACTAAAGTGTTAATGGTTGCATATCTCTTTGAAGATATGGAATCTGGCTTTGTTAGGTATCATCCACATCTTATTCTTGACTGGGGGAAACAACTAAAAAGATGGCCTAGAACTTGAGTGTCAAACTTGCTGCATCACGTTGCTGTCAAGCAATCTTTCATGACATTTTTCCCACTTGCAGAGCAGGGGTGGGTGTGGCCTGTATGTGACGCATCTGGCCCGCAGGTCACCAGTTCAACACCGCAGCCTAGAAGCTTGATTTCATTCCCCTCATTTATTATTTTGTAGGTGTCACTTTGTTTTTTTATTGCACACAATCTTGTTCTCACTTCATGGTCCGTAGAGTTGTCTGAACATCACTACATCCAGTCAGGAGGTCTGATTCATGGATTACTGGTGCACAGCATGCAGTACCTTACACAAAACAAAAATTACAAAATTATAGACTTTATTTTCTACAGCTGTTATGCATCTATATAGAACTTTTAAATGAAAAATGAAAAATCGTACTAATCTATTAAAATAGTTTAACAAAAACATTTTGACTGTTGCTTTGGAAATTCAAATATACTGTTTAAAATATACACATCTTTATAAATTTATAATTATTTTATAAATAAACTGCATGGCTTTAGCAAACAATTCATTAAATTTATATTCCATCTGACTCCCAATGAAATGAGTTTTCAGCTTTTAAAGTACAACATACTTTCATAAAATCAAATCTAAGTATCCTGAACTGGTAATGATATCACTTCTGCTTGACACATAGCTAATGAACAGCAGCCCATCACTTAGTTGTGTAAGTGGTTCTTGTCAAACTGCTTTTGTTTTTAGGAACATTTGATAGTCATTACCATGTCCACTCACTTGGATTTCTAAGTAGGACTGAGTATATTATATACAACGTACTTGTCCCTTTCTCTTGTTTGTTCCTTTTAAACAGATTACATTAATCAGCCATTGTACTCCATTCAAGGGATTCGTCCCAAATTTCTCTAATTTCTCATCCTCCACAACAGCAAAATCCCTTCTAGATTATTTTTCTTAATCTGAGCATTAATATATGCATAATGATGGGCATTAACTTCATAGACCAATTTTCCTTGTTTTTCATTTAGTCATTTGATAAGACCAATTATGAAAACTCTCCTACTTCTTTCTACAACACAAAGTCCTTAGTTGGAAACCATATTGTGAGGTTTTTATTGCAAATTATCTGCAAACGTCAATCTAAACACTTGCTAAACAAATTCACCATGTGTTCTGACTTAGGCTTCCTTAGAAAGCATAAAACACAATCTTAATTCTGGCAAAACCTCTGATTTCCACGGCTGTGGATTACGTTCATTCACAGTCTGTAAGGCTTCACAAACAGTCTTTCAGGGGAATGTTTATAAACATCCACCTTATCAGACTTTGAATGCTGCCAGAGAATTGCCAAACGCAGGGCAAGGCCAAACTTGGCATAGAGTCAAACAGAACTTTTCAAGGCTGAATCGACCAGACAAATTAACTGCTTCTTGCAAAAGCTCATGTCTCATTCGCTTGTCTTTTATGTCCTATGGGAGGGGCCAATCATCTCCAAGATGTGGCCTTACTCCTGAGTCGACCCTGTTTTCTCAATTGTTCTTGTCTTCTGGTAGCCCTGCACATGCGCAGGCTGGGAACCGGTTCCAGAAACTCCCCCGCCTCACTGCTGTCTAAGTCTGAAGGCAGATGATGACTGCCAGCCTGCCCTGGCCCCATCTCTGCCTCTGATGCAGATCCCTCTTCTGAGTCTTCCTCAGCCTCCAGGACTGCCCAGGTTCCTCCCCAACCTCCTCACTACTGTGCGACTCTGCTGACAGCTCCGTCAGCCGCCGGTGGGCCACAACACCATGCTTCAATCACAAAGCATCAGCTTTAAGGAATTTTTCAGTACAGATAGTCTTCAACTTAACAATTGGTTCCTTAGTGACAGTTAAAACCTAGACAGACTTAAATTGCTTATGGCCCAGTTTCAAAGTTATAGCTACTGCAGCGCCCCTGTGGACACTCATCCTTACAACCAATTGCAGGGATACTGATTGCAGGGATGCTGCAGTAGTTCCCCAACCTATCTCTTTCCCACCCTGCCCTGCTAGGTCCCCACACACTTTATGCCTGCTTCCCCCCCATGATGGGTCCCCACAGGCTTTGAGCCTGCTTCTCACCTCACTGGGCTCCATCTCCCATTCCCCATCATATACTTACCTCTGGAAGGGCTCTGGTGCTGACATTGGGAAAATGGGCGTTGGTACCTACCTGATACGCCCGTTCTCGTCGAGCTGCGTAGAGCATCCAGACAGTGGGAGGTGCTCCAGTCTTCACTCTAACAGGCTGAGCTATAATTGAGGAACACTCCTCCTCCTCAACGTGACTCCTCCATGCGTTCCCCCAGTTTTACGAAGACGAGAAGACAACAGCTATCCTCTCATGTCAACTATAATACAAGACTCAACTATGAACTATATACATCATTGGCCGAAACAGGACTCCCCCCCCCCCCCAGGCGGAACTACTAGGGTGGGGCTGGATGCTCTACGCAGCTTGACGAGAACGGGCGTATCAGGTAGGTACCAACGCCCATTCTCCGTGGAGCTGCTGCGAGCATCCAGACAGTGGGACATACCAAAGCCTGGTTTGTCCTACGGGAGGGACTCCGTCTGGTCCGGAATCACCTCTGGATCTTTTGCCGCCTGTTGAAGGACTCGCCTGCCAAAGGAAGCCTCAGCTGAGGCGTAAGCATTGATTTAATAGTGACGTATGAATGGAGATGGAGACGCCCAGGTAGCTGCTCGACATATATCCTGAATTGACGCCTGAGTAGCCCAGGCAGCCGAGGTGGCCGCACTCCTTGTAGAGTGAGCGGTAATGCCACTAGGGACAGGAAGGGCCTGTGCCAGATAGGCCTTGGATATAGTAGCCCTAATCCAGCGGCCAACAGTAGACGAGGAAACCTTGCAGCCCAGCGTCTTTGGCTGAAAAGACAGGAATAAGGATTCTGATTTTCTGATTGATTGTGTACGGTAGATGCAAATACGAAGAGCCCTTCGCACATCAAGAGTGTGCCACTGCCTTTCCCTTTCTCGAGAAGGCTTGGGGCAAAAATTAGGCAGAATCAATTCCTGGGATCTGTGAAAAGCCGAGTTGATTTTAGGCATAAAGGCGGGATCTGGTCTCAGGACCACCCGATCAGTGTGGAAGACACATAAGTCCTTTCTCACAGATAGAGCTGCTATTTCATATATCCTTCTTGCCGATGTTATCGCCACAAGGAATACCACTTTGAGTGTGAGAAACTGAAGTGGCGCCTCCCTGAGAGGTTTAGTTAATGCCATAAGAACTTTATTAAGATCCCAGGTAGGATATCTGTGGATCACCGGAGGGTGCAGATTGGAAGCCCCTCTAAGGAAAGACCTTATGCGAGGGTGGTGGGAGAGTGAGCCAGAAGAGCTGCTAGCGATCACCGTGGACAGGGCTGCGACCTGCCTTCTCAGAGTGTTGGGGGAGAGACCCCTATCTAGCCCGGCCTGTAGGAAGGCTAGGAGTTGGGCGATTGAAGGCGAGAGCGGATCAACGGACGACTTACAGCACCACTTACAAAAGATGTTCCAGGTTGTGTCATAAATGCGGGTAGTCGAAGGCCGCCTTGCTGCCAAGATGGTATTGATGACCTGGGCCGACAAGCCCTCATCTTTTAGCCTTTCCCGCTCAACCTCCAGACGGCTAGCTGAAGCCACTGCGGGTCTGGATGTTGAAGAGGTCCCTGGGACAGAGAGATCCTGTCGAGGGGGATCCTCCACGGCGGGGCCACTGACAGATTGCGAAGATCCGCAAACCACGGTCTCCTGGGCCAAAACAGGGCTATCAGGAGGACCTCCGCCCGTTCGAGGATCAATTTCTGAATCACCTTGGGTATCAGCGGGAGGGGAGGGAAGGCGTATAGAAGCCCGGTGGGCCAGGGGCAACACAGGGCATAGTGGTTCTCTGCGCCGTCGGCAGGATAACGAGAGAAGAACCTCGGTGTCTGGGCGTTGAGAGGAGATGCGAACAGGTCCACCAAGGGCTGACCGAACCTCGCTGCTGCCTCCCTGAACAAGGAGGGGTGAAGGCGTCATTCCGATTGGTCCAGCGTGGCCCTGCTCAGCCAGTCTGCTTGGACATTCGAGACCCCCGAGATGTGCTCCGCCCTGATGGATAAGAGATGTCTCTCTGCCCATCGACAGATTCGCTTGGCCTCCCTCATGAGACGAATAGAATGAGTGCCCCCTTGACGGTTGATGTGGGCTTTGGTGGTAGTGTTGTCTGTTAAAACCAGAATGTGATGGCCCCGTACGTGGGGGAGGAAGGCACGCAGTCTGGCTGAGTCTGCTTGATATACTGCGTGCAGCTCCAGCCAGTTGATGCTGCAGCGCCGTTCGGTTGCTGACCAAGTTCCCTGGGCTGAAAGCGACTGCATGTGGGCTCCCCATCCGTAAAGGCTGGCGTCTGTTGTGAGAGTGACCCTCTGGGGCTCCTTGAAGAGATGACCTCGGTTGGTAGATGGTCTTGTCCACCAGAGAAGCGAGGCGAGAACCCTTGGGGGGACCTTCACCACGAGACCTGAGTTGCTCCTTCCGGAACGTTGGTAAGGCAGGAGGAACCACTGCAGGGATCTGGAATGTAAGCGTGCCCAGGGAATAACTGATATACAGGAGACCAACTTTCCAAGCAACTTGGACAGGTTCAGTAACATGGCCATTCTAGTCTGCCTGATTGTCATGATAGCTTTTTGTATACTGGTGAACCTCTCTTGAGAGAGGAATACCCTCCCTTGAACCAAATCAATCACAGCTCCTAGGTGTGCTATACGGGTGGAAGGGTTAAGCTGGCTCTACTCCCAGTTAACGAGGAATCCGTGAGCCTGAAGCACTGAGAGGGTAGTCTTAGTGTCACTCTCAGCCTGATGTCGGGTAGGAGACAGAATAAGAATATCGTCAAGGTAGCAGTGAATGCGAATAGGGAAGTGTCTAAGGTACGCCGCCAGGGCCGCCAACACCTTGGTGAAGGTCCTCGGGGCCGAGACGAGACCGAAAGGAAGGGCCCCGTACTGGAAATGCTGATTGTTATAACAAAATCTCAGATACTTGGAATACGAGGGGTGAATGGGTATATGGAGATAAGCCTCAGAGAGGTCAATGGAAGTGAGCCAGTCTCCCTTCCTAGTACCCTGTAAGATTGACTGAAGTGTATGCATTTTGAATTTGTGATGAACAACATAGCGATTGAGCCTCTTTAGATCTAAAATGGGTCTCCAACCCCCGGAATGCTTCGGGACCAAAAAGAGGAGGGAATAGAACCCCCCCCTCCCTGCTGTGACAAAGGCACGGGCTGGATGGCCTTGATATCGG